CCTCGTGGCCGCTGCCAGGTGGACACTGTTCCACTGACTGGGAGGGGGAATTGGGCTATATCCTCACTTGCCCCTACAGCTTGTAATTAAATTAACAGGTTATTTTTTTATTTATTGTCATTTTTAACAAATTTTAGCGAGTAGGCCATATGTTGGAAAAGACACTGTAGTAATTTCGCCGACATAAATATTACATATCAACAACTATAGTCTACACATTTAAACCCGAGTCACCGCTCCTAAACAGTGTTCGGCAAATGACCAGCCCGTGATCACACCACATCGAGTGTGGTAATTGGTTCTGTTGTGAGTTGTGTGACTTTCTGCAGCAGTTTTTTCTTTTTTAAATATATTTTTATTGATTTCAGAGAGGAAGGGAGAAGGAGAGAGAGAAACACCAACAATGAGAGAATCATCGATGGGCTGCCTCCTGCACCCCCTCCCCTCACCCCCACTAGGGATCGAGCCAGCAACCCGGGCATGTGCCCTTGACTGGAATCGAACCTAGGACCCTTCAGTCTACAGGCCGAAACTTTATCCGCACTGAGCCAAGCCAGCTAAGGCTTGGGAGAATCATTTTTAAACATTTTATGTTAAATATTTCACCTGAATATCTGGTCACATACAATATTTAGCAATAAAATAATGCTGGGGGAAAGGAAGAGGAGTGGGCAGGGAAAAAGCAGACACCAGGCATTTTAGCAGACAAAATAAAAAGTAGAGGAGATAGACCTTATTAGCCCATGATCATCCATGTTTTAGAAATCCTGAGAGTAGAGCAGTGAAAATCGCCTGGTGTGCCACAAAATTTTTAAAACATGCAATACTTGACCTCTTTCCCCTTAGATTGTCAAATTAAAAAACGACAACAGCCAACATAACAATAGTTGTCTGGTGTGAATGAATCAAAATTATAACTTTTTTTTTTGTCAGATTGGCAAAAAAAGTAATATATTTTTTGGTGTGCCTCAGAATTTCAGTAATTAATTTATATGTGCCATGAGTTGAAAAAGGTTGAAAATCGCTGGAGTATCCCTGGCAGGATGGTTCAGTTGGTTGGAGCATCGTCGTGTTCACCAAAAGGTTGCAGGTTTGATTCCCTGTTAGGGCATATTCCTAGGCTGCAGGTTCAACCCCTGGTGGGGGTGTATACCAGAGTCAATCAATTGATATCTCTCGCTCTCTCTCCTCTCTCTCTTCTAGTCCCTTCCTCTCTCTCGCAAATCAATAAAAACATATCCTAAGGTGAAGATTGAATACTGGTAAAAAAGAAAATTGCGAGGAGAAACCAAGATGGTGGCATAGGTAAACACCGGAGTTTGCTGCCTCGAACAACCACTTCAAAAATACAACTAAAAGACGGAAGGGACATCATCCAGAACCACAGGAAGGCTGGCTGAGTGGAAATTCTACAACTAGAAGAAAAGAAAAAAGCACACTGAGACTCAGAGGAGGCGCAGTGCGGAAGTAAAACACTAAGGTGCAGAGTGCATGCGGAGCGGGCTAGCGGCTGAGGGCGTGGTTGTCATTTTCAATCAGGAGGGAGTCTCAGGCTCTGAGCTCCAGTTCCAGGAGAGTCTCTAGGGACCCAGA